GCACTACTAAACTAACATAAAAACCATGGTGAAAGATGGATGGGGGGTTTAGTCAAATTTTCTTTCACTCGCCCGTGATTATAGTGTCCCTACCCCAAATCCGACGTCGGTGCCGGACTAGGAGTCGTTAAGGAGAGGGTCAACTCAAAGCACCGTTCGACTGTTTGCCAAGCAATAGAGGGAATGCTTCGCTAGAGAGAAGAGTAGGCAGAGCTGTCTGTATCCGCCGTCACTAATAGTCGTGCATGAAGAATAAACACGCCCGACATCATTAAAGCCGACCAAATCAGGAATCATCAAAGTCCTATTGACAGTTCGACCGTCGTTTCCGACGATGCCCACCGTGAGACCCACAACAAGGTAGGCGCAGGGACGGTGACTTGTGCATAAATTAGTTTATGGTGATAGTAGGCTCGACTTGCATCTACCGCATTCTTTTCCCCTCACTCAAGACAAAGCAAAGTAGACCGGAGGTAAGATCCGGAAAAATGTGACTATTGCATTATTAGATAAAAGTAAGGTGTCTACTAGGCCTAATCTAGTAGTAGAGCCAAATATTCTAAAACGCAATTTCTCTAAAGGAGCTTGGTTGATGGAGACCACTTTTTACCGTAATCATCACTCATGATCCTGATTTATTACCATTAGAATCATGATTTTCGGACCTCTCGTCACAAGTTCAAAGGTGCTAGGTGGAGGAAGGAATTATTCAGTTTGCGGGGACGAGGCCGTCAAATAAACTAACTGGACGAAATTACTCCATTGTGAGCTGAAAAGAAGTTTGGTTGTTGGAAGGTACGGGGTGGGAGAAACAACACTTTTCATGATACCTTTCCTTCTTTTAGAAACAATCATGCCGTAAGACCTTTTCGAAGGTGACGGTGACTTGAGCGTGAATTAGTTTATAGTGATATTAGACTTAAGTAGCATCCACTGTACTTTCCCCTGGCTATTCCACCTGGACCCTGTGTCAGTAGTGAACCATTAAGACCGGGGGCCAGATCGTGCGCAGTGGCTAAACGGCACGTCTAAGCGCGCCACACGCACGCCTCGCCCTCGCAAAGTGGAGCGGGTTTTCACAGGCACGAGGGGTCGACTCGGAGTCCAGCTGGGTGCGAATGCCGCAGAGGCCACATTTGGAAGGATCCACTGCAGCCTGACTCTCCAACCGGAGAGGACCGAGGTACCCTGTCATTTGAAAGCTTTACAGCGCACTGCGATAAGTTCAAGCGCATCAGATTGTTAGAATAGAGGAGGGTATGCGCTAAGTGCCGTGAGGCCAGAGTGCCCAGAGTCGATTTCACTCTCTCCGAGCCGGTCGGCCATCTGATGCAGGGATTCGGAGCAAAGGACTGATAGAGCTGCATGGACTGTCTGCATGTGTCATATACGACCTGACCACCACGCAACAATCACATGTTCACACAGGTAAGGTAGGCGGCTCGAATATCACATGCGTGGGAATGCCATGCAGGCCACATTAAGGAGGAGTCATTGAGCCTAACTCTCAGTTCACCAGCCGGCCACCAAAGTCGTATAGAGTAAGCAAATACACGCACATCGTGCATTGAAAACCGTGACACAAAAACTGCCTGATTGGCTCAATGATGAATGTATCGATTCCGTCGCCGATTACTATGCTGCAAAAACCCTTCTTCAGAATTGGAGCAAATACTTACTGGAGGCTAAGCAACCAATCTATATTAGCTCCAAGAACAAGTCTGCAGGTTTGCAGGCATCGCCGCCTGCACCTTTCTACCTCTCTCAATGGAAAACTATAGTCGGCGTTTTTAGACGGTGGTGAAATGAAGGTCGTGACAAAGGTGAAACAGATCATATCATAGGAGAGTCGCACAGCGTCGTTGGCACGGTGGATGTCCAGAGTTCTGACACCTGACAGGTCACAGTGGTACTAATGGTAGAAAATAGTGCCTTACTCAACAGCACAAAGCGTCGCTCTCGGGAATGCCGGAACCAAGTGCAGAATTGAGCCTCACTGAAGTTACTAAAGCAGTTACAGGTTTGGGCGTTGTAAGTCCATCAAGTCGACCCTTTGCTAAGCACATTGCGTGGTATTTTGCGATAAGACCACCGACGGAGGGACGGCATCACACTCAGCCCTTCGAGTGAATGCACTCACGTTTCCCGCGGATCTTCTCGACGCTACTTGAGAGCTCAGCAATTACAAATTCCTTTGAGCCAAACTTATCACTGTCGTCTTACCCGAGGACTTAATTACTCCACCGCTGATGACCGACCTACCCTTAAAGAATTAACGGCTCATTTAACAGGCCATAGCTGCCACAGACTTTGAGAGATAATCTTCCGGCCTAGGAAACTACAGTAGATGTGCCATTTCATGAAATGTTGACCAAAATTCGGAGGTGTTTTCGATTACAAAAGATAACTAAAATGGGAGTTGAAAAATTCATTATTTCGTAGCATCATTAGAAGATCTTGCAGTCACCTCAGGATGTCAGCTTTTGGAGGAGCTTCTTCCCAAGCGCTCGCAAGAGCATACATAAAAAACGACTGCCTAAGTAGTATGGTTTTTCTCGTTGCTTTAATAAATTCGAATGTTTTTTGTGAAAAACAAGCGCAAACATATTTCTTCGTGTACTTATTTGGTAGGGAACTACGTATTCTGCAAAATTCATACTTGAAAAGGGGGTTGTTTTCGGTTTTAGAGAAGTTTCTGATTACGGAATTTTTCAAAACCGTGGAGTGTCCTTTCATAATGCATCTTATCTCTCCACACTGCAAAATTGTGGACTAAATATGACCTCTTCCTAATAGCGCATGGAAATGCATGGTTTTCCTCGCAAGGAAAATATACAGCTTTCAGTTCGGAAACCCTAAAGGCAAGTGAAACAGTGGGTCAGGATAAAATTATTCGGGAACTGCAAAATTTTTAAGACAGAAAGATACCCTTTCTTCGGGCAACAACGTTGCAGACGTAATTTTCTACCAAATAAGTACACGGAGGAATATGTTTGTGCTCGTCTTCTACAGAATATATCCGAATTTATTAGAGCATTGAAAAACAGTGAGAAAAACCCATACTACTTAAGCAGTCATCTTTGAAGTATGCTTTTGCAGGCGGCCGGGAAGAAGCTCCCCCTAGAGCCGACATCCTGAGGTGACTGCAAGATCTTTTAGTGATGCTGCGAGATAATCAATACCATAACCCCACTTAAGTCATTTTTTTCTAATCAAAAACATCTAATAATTTCGGTCAACATTGCATGAGATGGTATATCTACCGTATTCTTGTCGTTCAGTCATAAATCTCCTTCTTTGAACCTAGATTTTGTTGAAAGTGAACTGCCCGAGGTGATATCGCGAGAATGCAACGAACACTTCGTCAGCGATACAGTAGGCAGATACGTGTGCGCAGCAGGTCTTGCCGGTTGGGGCCAAAACCTATGAGATCTCTGCCGCAGCATTCGTGTGAGAAGGAGGCGCAATGAAGAGAGCTAACGTACACGCGCTATAAAATTATGATGGAATCCTCTTAACGAATGTCCAGGGACCCTTCCACCACCACCACCACCACCACCATCACCACATAGCAAGTCCGCTTTTGTTATGCTCCTCTACAAGAGGTGGACGTCACCTAAAGTTGAAACAGTCAAGGTGCATGTGGATCCAAACACGTCAGCGGCAAGCTGTGATAGGACTTATGTGAAGAAGACTGATGGGCGTCGGACAGGGGAGGGGGGCATGGACCCTCCCCCGTAGTGCAGGTGGTCTCGCTCCAAATTCGGGGGGAGTACCTATTTTCGAGTCCTAACTGTAACCCTCCTAACCCTAGCACTAACCCCCGAAACCCTAACTGCTAACTCTAACTCCCTTCCCTAGAATTTGCGGCAAGGACACAAGTAGTGCAGAGGGAGGTTCATGCTCCCGTGTCCAATCCTGACGGGAAGTAAAAGTAGGCAATGGAGACATTTTGAGAGAAAAATCAGAAGGGGAAACAGAGTTCTCAAGATAATATGGCAAACAAATATTTGCAGAAACTAAACCACCGAAAAGGAATTAGGCAGGATTTCTGAGGAGCGTAGAACTAAATCAGAGCACAGTTTAGGGGAACAGAGTTAATAAAATGAAGACGCTACAGGGGAGAGATGCGGGTGGAAAACTAAGGTGGAGTTAAGCCGAGGAGATGAGAAAGACATAGAAAAGTATTTTAAAAAAGACCAGAAAGGCTGAAATTCCTTCAATACGTTAAACTCCTTCTGTGTCGTCAGTCAGGTGCCTAGGCGATGGGTGGGGCGGTTTACTCGGGCATGCCAGCTTCGGATGAACAGGAGACCCAGATGGAATTGGGTGTGGCTGCAGTTCCCGCGCCTCCAGCGCAGCCGATACTAGAAGACGCAGTTCCTGAGTAAGTGTTTCGTAGCGATAGGCAACGCGAATGTTGGGTAGGTTGGTACGAGTAATGTCGTTGCCCCGGACGCCCTCCTCCCAGAAGTTTAGACCCAACCAGTGCGACTTGACCTGCGATGGATGCGTCACTTTAGAATCATTTCTACCGGCAGTTAACAAATATCTTAAAATTTTAAGTTAACTTACGACGTCAGGAAACCCGCTTATGAGGACGCTATTGCGAGCCAGCTCGCACATATCGGTGGCGCTTAGTTTCCAGACTTGAGCAGCGATACTGTACTCCTCCATAAGGGGTTCTTTTGTGAAATGGAACTGTAGGGGATCGTCGGTACTAAGGCAAACATTTAGACCTCTAGCCAAATAATCGTTCAGTGGGTTCCGGTGATATTCCAAGAAGAGGGAGTTATTGCTCAGCGGCGACATTGCGACCCCGATCTGGGTAGAGTTGAGAAAGAGAAACGTAAATAAAGGCACACTTTAAAAGGCAGCAGGTATGAGGAATGCAAGATAATCGCTGTCTACTGAAACGTCATTTACAGAATGGCTGGACGGCATTCAACGACACATTCGCCGTCTGGTTGAAAAGGCAGAGTTAACTAACTGTCATCTCGATGAAAATGGCCAAGTTAGACATCAAGTAAAACAAAGAAGCTGGAATTATAAATCCGCATCGCATAACGGGCTCGATCGGGGCTGAGAATTCAGAGGGTTATGATACGATCAAGAGAAGTGACAATTTTGTCTCAGGTGACAACGGTTAATTTTATCCGCGGAAAGGGAGCGGTAGAGACCATTAATGTACGGTGACGGGTCGAAAGTTCGTTTGATAGTTAATTACAAGTGAAATTGAATGTAACTCCGTCTGACAAGTGCTAGGGCAAGTACGGGCAGGCACAAACACAGTCGGTAACAATCGGGAGATGGCACCCAAAAAATCCGCCTAACCAAAGCAGCCTGTCTTACGGGACAGGTGGTAATAGGGATTTTATGGGTGGTGGCTGGTCGGGATGTACGATACTAGCCGACGGAAGCCTTATTTGAACAGATGAATGATCGAAGTTGGGCCGTTCTCCGTTCCGTTATTACAAAATGGGTCGCCAAAGACAGCATATTGGTAACGGACGAGTGGAAGGCGTATAATCGTCTTCCCTCAGACGGTTATCTACATTTCTCAGTTAACCACTCAAAGAATTCCAAGGACCCTACCACCGGACGGCACACCAATGCCATTGAGGCATACTGAAGTAGACTGAAAAGGAAACTCCACGAGGGAGGCCCTGTATGTGGTCGAGCTGTGTGGGCTCACATAGACGAAGTACAGTATCGTCTTTGGTTTGGCCCCAATGCCATGTCTTTGACAGATGCCTGGGAACTGTTCCTGTCCCATGTTGTGCAGGCTTATCCTATTTAAAAGTGATGTTGTTTTGTAATAAACTGCCATAATGCGAATTTATGCCGTATATTCAGGTGTACGTGTGTAACGATGGGGAAGGTTGGGTAACAGCGACCATCGTCCATGTAACCTTCTTTGATGTTCTTTCGGCCAGCCCGTGTTAGGCCGTCGCGGAAAGTCCAAGTAACGCGTGAAAGTAGGTTTGCAACCGCTGATATAGCCTGAAGGCGTCTGAGTCCACTGTTAAAGATATTATTTCTAGGTAACGGATTTTTTGGGTGCCATCTCCCGATTGTTACCACACAGTCTAAACCCAACGGCAGCGAAAATACAGTACGACCTAGAACATGAAAAAGGATCCCAGCGGGAAGTGGGATAGAGATGTGCTACGTCCCATGGTTTCGCATGGAAGGCCTGGAATTTGAATACGTTGAATAAATGCAAACTCCGCAGCCCTTGTATTGATCAGTCCCAAAAATAGAGGCACATCGCGCGCGAAGTGTTCGCGGACAGGCTAAATGAACAAGGGTCGGTCTAGGCTTCAGGAGTTTCGTAGCCGCAAACACTCCTCATCAAGGCAAAGCCGCTGAGGTAACTTGTTCAATGATTTACGGGAACAAAGGATCAGTGCACGCATGAATAGCGGTGAAGGTGGTGACGAATTAATGTTTCCTCAAAATATTAGCGTCGAACGGAACAGGAGACGAGTAAAGGAACATTTAAATATGACAATCTCAGAGGTCCGGAAGGCAAAAGTGGTAGATTAGATAACATTTAAAAAGACCGGCATCCGTTCTGTCGCTGTTAGGTCTTCCGCCAAGTTGCAAGTGGGCGTTCGGTCAAAATGAGAAAATAAACCAGGAAGCCAACCGTTATTATGTCAGCCAACCAGAGGTGCCCTAAACGCTCAGTACGACGGTTGATGACGAAGCTCGGTAGTCGGTCACGAGGGTAGAATTCCTTTTTTGGGATTTTCACCGTACTCGATCCAGTCCCCCGGAAGGACTTCAAGATTGTTGAAGTATACCGGCCGTTTCGTGGTGTGAACAAGCGGGGCTATTGCTGAAAAGTCATCTAACCTCGCGGTTCCCGGTGGGGCCTCGTAACTCAGGAGGCTAGAGTGTTGGCTGTACTAAAGCCTTCCCCTTGTCTTCGTGGGTTCGAATCTCACCGAGGTCACCGTGTCTTTCACAGTTGGGTCAGAATAAGAAATTTTCTCTGATCATTCACGGGGTGTTAAGGAGCATCCTTAGCATTCCGAGACTTAAAAAAACTGAAAATTTCACTGGAGTTGCAAACAACATAGTAGTTGCAACATAGTAGTTTGTGGAGTAGATTTCTCTTAGATCGTGAGGGGACGGGATCCTTGAAGCAGCAAATGTTTGAAAATAGACTGTTCGAGGGCTTGTGAGATACTTGAATGTACGCATTGACAAAAATCTCCGATATTCAGTGCCCTATCTACCCATAACCAGCGGGTCAACCCTTCGTCAATCGTCTTAGTGAAGATTTACCGCGCTTCTGGTTAGAAAACCTGATGACAGTTTATTTCCTCGTTTCTTCTCTTCGCACTGCCTGTACGCGCACTTGCGATGGACCTCCGTGCTTGGTGTGAACAAGAAGGGCGCGGATTTTCCGATATGTCTTCTAATGCACTAATGCCACCTTCTGCATTTTAAATTTATACGTTTATAACTGTGTTAGCCGAGCTTTCAGGATTCTTGGAGTAAAGGAAAATGCCTAGCGGAGCATCTTCGAGGATGTTTATGCCCAACATCACTGGACGCTCCTTGTTCAGGCATATTTGAAGCAAATAGAAGTGGCGCTTCACTGGCCGTATTGCAGGCAACAAGGACTGTTCCGATTCACCTTGGAGCTATGATCTGGAGGCCCATAAGCCGTCGAACAGTATCAAGCAATTGATAAGGCGGAAGGAATATCGAAAGAGAAGGGGGGACTAAAATGGCCGTGGCTAATTTATCAGTCAATCATTTCCTCACCCAGGTCTGGAATTCAACCATCTCCGTAGCCCTGACGATCCCCTTATAGTACTCTCACTGAAGACATCCGAGATTGTCTAGGTTACAATGTCCGACAACTCACATCACCCACTTAATCACTTTTTGCTGAGTCTTTCTAAGTGGCATGGAGTCGACGAACTGCAAGGTTACTTAAAGTAGGCCAACAAGGTATGGTATTATGATCGATTCCCATGGAGAACCAAATATTCTCTAGTGAGCGACCGATCTTGCCCTTTTTGGAAGGATTATAACCGCCTGTGCTCATCTCTCGATAGGATCTAAAGTGCCTGAATTGGTTTACTTATCATTTGTTGGTCAAAAAAGTACGCCAGGTGATTTTTTAATTACAAAACCTGCAAGCCATGAGTCCTTGGAAGTATTTTGTTCTTATTTCAGAAGAAAAAAAGTTACTGAGAAAGACCAAGCTGCTGTAACTGTGGCATTACAAACTTCAAACCGAGAGGCACAAGCGAGGTCGTTGGCGGTAATTTACCTGGCAAAGGTAGTACAGGTACTGCAAGACGGGAGCCTTGCGCAGGAGAAGGCCGTGGTTAATGGAGTTTGCGAGAAGAAATGCTGTTATGAGGTGACTGGCGCTGCCTGCTTCACCACAGTGAGGTCGCAAGGCGAAGGTGTGCATGCCGCGATGACTGAAACGATGCCATTGTTGAGTAAAGTCAAGGACGGAGAGATGAAGGCGTCACAAAGCAGGGAAGCATAACATGTAATTGCATAACGCTTAGGGAGTATTTTCGGGATAAAAAAGATCAACTGCCTACAGACCACAATAAAGCACAAGGGTTCTTTTCTGCTGCCGGGGCACTTAAAATCGGCAACTGCAGCTGCACGATGATAGTTTGTCAAGCGCGATGATGACGCCCACTATTTCGGAGATGTGAGTAGTATCACCCTCTACCTTTACCCACAGTCCCATCGTGTGGAAGTAAAGGGGCAAGGTTAAGAAATAGGGGTTTAGCAGTAAACCTCCGTACAGGAGAGCTGGAACGCAGTTTGTTCTCCGAATTGGTCGAAACTCACAGAACGTGCCATACAGGGAGGTACTCCAGGTAACCCTCCGTCTGGTTCCACAATTTAGTAGAAGTGTCTACCGGAGCAACGCGTAGCACACTTTTTTCTACCTGCAGAAACCGCACTCGGTAAGAAATGACTACTTGGGCAGCACATAGTTTTCACGCTGTTTTTTCGATGGTCTTATAAATTCGAGCACATTTCATAGGAGACACGCACAAAATATGCTTCCTTTTACTCGTTTGGTACAAAATCACGTTGTCTTCACATCTTACACTCGAAACAATGACACATTTAGGTTTTGAAAAAGTTTCCAAATTGCCGAACGATTTCGAGCCGAATTAGGCATTGCATCAACGTTTAGCGATTTCAGTCTACAAGGTATATGCTTCCCGCGTAAGGAAAATAGTATATTCCTCTAAACCTCTAGGAAGATACCATATAGATTTCGTAAAATTTTGCAATGGATGCGGACTATGTTGTATACTCCATGAGGAACATTGGTAAACGGACAGGCACGATGCTGTATTGAGTGGTTTCAAAAAATCTCATAATCAGAAACTTTTTTAAAACAGAAAGATATCCTTTCTCGGGGTAAAAAATGGAAGACAACGTGATTTTCTACGAAACTAGAAAAAGAAAGCATATTTTTGTGCATGTTTTCTATGAAACAAAATCGAATTTTTAAGGCCATCGAAAATCAGTGTGGTAAGTGCATTCTATTCAAGTAGTCATTTTTACTGAGTGCGTTTCCTACAGGAGATCGAAAAGAGCGCATCTAAAAGCCGACACCCTGGCGAGTCCGAAATATGATAGGATAATGTCGCATGATAATAAATATTACAACTCCACCTAGGTACCCCTTCCTAATCGAAAACACGTTTCGGAATTTCGGCCAACATTTCATGAGATCGGTGACATACTGTAACTTCTTTGTTTAGCCACAAATCAGACAGCGGCGCCGAGTGGGCGGAGTGCAATGGTCACAGCGTGCAGTTGGGCATTGAGTGCGACTGGTAATCCATCAAAGTGGCTAGTCTTACCCCGGTATCCCGTAATTTTCACAGTTTCAAGGTAAATAATACACATAGGGACGCCAAGGCAAACACAGAATACAACAAATGTGGGGGCAACTGTGAATGACAGGGGGGCCACACACTGCGAATACATTTTTGAGCGAAAAGAGTCAAGTTTCTGACAAATCTCGTTGTGTAAAAGCGGGGAGGAAAATCCTGCATATATGTCTGCTAACAGTGATGATGTAGAACCCGCCGGTTCTTCATCAGCGATAAGACTGCAGGAGCTCCGGACTACCTACACCGATTATCTCATTGGATTGAAATGCCACCTACTCATATGTACGTGGGAGAATACGAGCAGTGGCTACCTCGACATAATCCATTCCAGACCATGCAAAGGCGACTCTTATTCTGCACTACCGCAGACTAGAATGTAGAAGAATGAGAGGCGTTGAGCAATTCAAACCCGGATGAGTCCTGGCAATCAAACGAAGCCAACACTGGTTAGATCCGTGAACTAACGTGGACCTGTCAGCGGGCAAGACGACAGTAAGTTATCCGACTGTTACAACGTGGAGAATGGGATGACCCAGACACTAACCTGCTACAAATTCAAGACTCCGAGGGAGGGGACCACACGTGAACGGATTGACAGGAGGAACACGTGTCTGATAGCCTGTGTCCACTGGACATCCCGAAAAGGGGAAATACAGTAGATGTGCTAACTCATGAAATGTCAACCAAAATTTCGAAATGCATTCTCGTTTCGAAAAGATAAATTAAGTAGTGTTGTAAAACTAATCATGATGCAGCATAAATCTATAATGATCCAGTTACCTCAGGGTGTCGGCTTTCGATAGAACTTATTTTCGGCTGCATGCAAGATCTATACTCTGCAAAAAATGACTACATAAGTAGTATGCAATTTTCTCATGGATTTTATGCCCTTTAAAATTCAATTATATTTCATGGAAAACATGCATAAAAATATTCATTCTTTTACTTATTCGGTAGAAAGTCACGTCTTCTTCCAATTTTATCCTCGAAAGAAGGGTATAATTCGGTCTCAAAAAACTTTTCTAATTCCCGAATAATTTTGAACCCGACCTGCTGTTACACTTGCATTCAGGGTTTCAAAATCACAAGCTGTATATTTTCCGTATACGGAAAACCATGCATTTCTCTACGGTGTTAAGAGGAGACCATATGAGGTTCATAAAATTAAGCAGTGGATTTGAGCAATATTGTTAAATTCACAAGCCACATTCGTAAATGCAGATACATGACGTTTCATGGACGGTCATTTAACGGTATTAAAAAATCTCACAATCAGAAACTTTTTTAAAACCGAATTATACTCTTCTTTTGAGTATGAAATTAAAAGAAGACGTGACTTTCTACCGAATAAGTAAAAGAATGAATATTTTTATGCATGTTTTCCATGAAATATAATTAAATTTTAAAGGGCATAAAATCCATGAGAAAATTGCATACTACTTATGTAGTCATTTTTTGCAGAGTATAGATCTTGCATGCAGCCGAAAATAAGTTCTATCGAAAGCCGACACCCTGAGGTAACTGGATCATTATAGATTTATGCTGCATCATGATTAGTTTTACAACACTACTTAATTTATCTTTTCGAAACGAGAATGCATTTCGAAATTTTGGTTGACATTTCATGAGTTAGCACATCTACTGTAAGTACTTGTGACGACTGCATTTTCGTCATCAGTATTGTCCAGCGCGACCCAGTTTAGGAAGGCATCGGCTAAGTCTGATGAAGCAGCGGGCTAAACAGGCATTAGGATCTAGAGCTAAACGATAGAGAAACGCGCTGTATCCGGCGTTGTTTGACGAAGAGCACAGTTGGACCACATAATCAGGGTTGGCTCAGCCGGGGGGTCAACGATACATTGCTCATTTACAGTGGGTGGGTTAACCAATCATCATGCAGCATAATTCTATAAAAATTCAGTTACCCTAAGATGCCGGATTTCGAACGAACTTCCTTCCGGCTGCATCTAAGAACCATACTCCGTGAAAAATGACTACTTAATTAGCATGTATTTTTATCATTGATTTTCGGTGCCCTTAAAAATTCAATTATATCTCATGGAATACATGTATAAAAATATTTATTCTTTTGCTTATTCGGCAGGAAATTACATTTTCTTCCAACTTTATGCTTGAACAAAGGGTATAATTCGGTCTCTAAAAACTTTTCCAATTCCAGAATAATTTTGAACCCGATCTGTCGTTACACTTGCATTCAGGGTTTGCGAACTACAGGCCGTGTATTTTCCGCGTACGGAAAGCCATTCATTTCTTTACGGTATTGAGAGGAGACCATATTGGGCTCATAAAACTTGGCAATGGATTTAAACCTTATTGCTAACTTTACAAGCCATATTGGTAAATGCAAAGACATGACGTTTTATGAACGGCCATTTCACGGCATTAAACATTTCACAATTAGAAACTTTTTTCAAACCAAATTACACCCTTCCATTCGAGTATAAAATTAAAAGAATAAGTGGCTTTCTACCGGATGAGCAAGAGGATGAATATTTTTATGCATATTTTTCATGAAACATGAGGGGCATCGAAAATCAATGAGAAAAATGCATGGTACGTAAGTAGTCATTTTTGCAGTGTAGTTTTTGCGTGCAGCCGGAAAGAAGTTAATTCGATTGCCGGAATCCTGAGGTAACCGAATTATTATAGAATTACGCTGCATGATGATCTGTTTTACAACCCTGCTCGATTAATCCTTTCGAAACGAAAACGCGTTTCTGAATTTCGGTTGACATTTCATGAGTTAGCCCACCTACTGTACCTAACGAGGAGTTTAGCCCTGTTAAGGACCGTACAGCCGTTGTTGGCGGGAAATGGTTTCGCTGTATGAGCCGGTGCTTAATTCACCCAGCTGAGATGCCCTAGAAGGATTGGCAATTGGGCAAAGAAGTCCCAGACTTTTTCGTGTCCACATAGAGCAACAGAGGACACGGAAATTAGTAGAAGTTGCTAGGGCCGCTAAATCAAAACTCCACGCCTCAACAGGCTTCCTAAAACAAACGTGCTTTACACATACGTGGTAATCAAGGGGTTGTGCACTCTACCCCTTCAGGATTGCTTCTACGTGGCAAAGCAGTCGATAACAGAAAACAAGCTTGACGGATATTCAACTTCCAGAGGGCCCACCTGCGCCAATTTTCTGACTCCAGTGCGTCTGCACTCGCCGGATGTTCATCGAATAAGTGGGATACAGTGGCGCCAAAAGCTCTCTTCACTGAGACACCCTTTATAACTGTGCAGCCAAACCTGCATGTGATGCCCCCCCACCCAATTGGGAAAGTAAACTGGACAGAGCGAAAAATCGAAAAACGCACTTACGCCCTGAGTTGGTTCAGTCGTGCAATGTTAGCGTAGAGGTAGAAGATGTAGTAGGAATAGGGAGGGTTCTCATTCTTTGTCCATTTCTCAGGCGTAGGAATAGTCATCTCCATGTGTGTGGTATCCGGTTTGGACTCATCATCAACCGAGTCGAAGGCGACAACATACTCCAGAAAGGCGTATAGTTTCGGATGGGAGCGGGGATTGAGAGTAACCTCGAAGAGGGGCTGGAAGATGTTCGTAATCATGTCCTACAAATAAACGAGCTTGTAGAGGTATAAGTTGGAATGCAGAAATGCTGTTTCCGCTACCTGGGACTTAGGAGGTGGGAAGTAGGCTACAAGTAACCGCATTGAAAATCAAAAACATGGTAGCCAAGTCCCGACAGGCAACTTCGTCAGGAGTGTTTTGAGAAGAAAATATTGAAGCTACTCTGGTGGTTTGCAAACGTCGGAGCAATTTACGGCCAAACAAGGTGCAAATGTTTAGTTCCTACTCAAATCTCTGTAAAATGTGGCTTCTATAAGTCGTAAAAAACGCCATTAAGTGCTATGGCAGTCATCGCCGAAAACAACAGTTAATTTTGGATCAAATATGGCGATTGACTGCCAGTTGAATTAGACACCGAAGTCTAAAAATAATGCCTTTGCAGCCCGACAGATCAAAAAATCAAGCGTAGAAACAGTTTCCAACCAGAAAGTCCTGTAAGGCGTCAGCGAAAAATATTTACAGGGAACCGTTGGGTAAGCAACACGAAAAAAAGGACTAAAAATGAAGAAAAGACTAGTCGAAAAACCTTTTATGAGTTTTAAAACAGAACGATAAAAGATTTGCCAACCTGGAAGCTAACGATAGCTGCTTTCGATTTATAGACATCGAAGAGTCTTGGGATCTGTATGACCCAGCGGATATTGGGGGAGTAGACCTTAAAATCGATTGCCCAAGTAGACAGATCATCCCACTCCTGTAAGGAGCGTCCGTAGATCGAAAGGCGTGGCTCAGCATTCTGGTACTTGGACTCCTCCAGATCAGAGAAGACTTCCTAGGCGAGAGAGACAGAGAGAATAGTGCACAGACAATATGCGTAGCGCAAACGTAATCTTTGCGCTCGAGAATAGAAAGAAATCATTGTACATGGAAATAAAATCACGCGTATGTATTTGATCAAATGCTTGAATACTTGCCCTGAGCACGTGCGCAAAGAATGCTCCTTTATTGTAATTGTCAGTCTTTAAGAAAACTTCTCGAAGCTGGCTCTGACCAATGGGATTGTACTTTGCGTTGAATTTGTCAAATCGATGGAACGTGTTCCGATCCTGAAATGAAAAAAAATCAAGACTTATTCTCTGTCTTGTTTTCAACAATCTCTCCACCCGACAGTAACAGGTCAAAGGGGTGTTCTGTAACCGTGAGGCATCGTTGAGGATAAAAGGGCGGCATTGGCAGCTAATGAGCCAAAACAGTTCTGACCAGGCATGCACGAGTTACTCATTTCTCGAAAAAATTGACGGAACAAGATCAGTAGTAAGTGTGTTTATTTTATAACTGGCCTTCAGCGAAAGCCCATCCAATACCCGCGACCAATGATTGAGCCGGACAGCCGGTAGCTGGGCTAGGGGACACACCTGCTTGCGTACTTTTGCTAAAACCGAAACATATCTATGTGTACCAATATGTATACGCATACCAGATGCGCACAGAGACCCTTCTCGAAGTAAAGAGAACCGGATCTGTTTCCTGCTGATTTTTCTACAACCTAGCAGAATGCCTAATTTCAATGACATGCCTAACTCTCATTTCCTACGGAAACGAACAAGTAGGAATGCGAACATGAGTGAAACAAACTGACCCCGTATCACGATAGTTAAATGGCCGCGACCAGAAAACGCCTATCACAAAATTTCCATTACCCTGTTTACACCGTTGTGCTGGTCGGAATCGCAGAAAAGCTTGGCTCGACGAAAATAATCAGTATTCTCAAAAAGGCTGAATCAATTTTAGTAGGAACGTGCCGGACTGAAGTTAGGCGCGTCAGTACCCTATAATTCCATCGTCATTGTCACCACGACCATCGCAATCATTACCGCGAACATTATTCATGGCTGTGAGGAGAAAGACAAAACTGTTTCGGTTCCCCCCCCCGTCATTTCCCCAAGGACCTGATGAGGCAAAGAAGAGGAACCTTCGGGACTGCATAGACAAATCACAAACGGAAGTCATAGGTTGAAGGTGATGTCAGGTCTGTGAGGGTTCCCCAGCCAAGGATTTGGCAGGCAATGTGCCGCAAAACGAATTCAAAATGTTAGTATTTGAAAAAATTCTTTCATGAAAGCAGACCATCGAATGCGCCAACGATTGCCTGTGGGCTCGTGAGCGTACGTCCCATGCCACAGGGCAGTTAAGACGCCTGACAAGGGGGAGGGGGCGTAGTTGTTGGTTTTTGAACTCCAATTAGCGCGCCGCGATAAAATTAACCAGTTGGGTGTGCCGCGCAATAAACAGTTTCACAGTTTGCCGGTTCGGTAGTGGGTTTGATCGAACTTTTTAAAGAGTCCATCCTTTTTCTACACGTCCTACTCTGGCCATCATTTTTTGCACATACAGTACCGGTAAGCAAGGAAGAAAACGTCTCTTTTGTAGTGTGTGGTGATCCTGTAAGGCGCCTAAACTGATCCTGCTTTTGTTTTATTGTTTTTACAACGCTGTGAGTCCCCTCCTCCTCCTCCCCTTCCCCCTACTCCTCCTCCTCCTTCTTCCTTGAATGGTGGCCGTGCTTGTGTGTAGACACAACTCGAACGAGGAAGGACTCTGCACCTCGGAATGGCGCAAAATAGAAGAGCCCGTGGGGTAGATGAGACAATATTTTCTAATTTTATTTCAAGGTCGTTGAATGTTTCGGAGTGTTTTTCCCTCTACGGACTTCATAATAAATTCCCAATTACTGACATGTTAACTGACAGTTTCTCCTCGTGCTGACTGATTGGTACAAATGAATTATCACTATTATAAAACAAGCTTCAGAATCGGGACCAATTAAAGAATTCTTAGGGCCGGACCAGACATCGGTCAGTTCAGAATGTACTAATGAGGAAGAAACGAGTCCGACGCCACAATCTCTCAGAATTTGTTACTACAACGAATTTACTTGGTTATCCATTCAGCCAACGCGTGTACCTAGCCAGAGGTTGGAAGCGAGGAAGTATTTCTGTTTTAGAACTGAATTGAGAAGACACGAAATGGCCTGCTTGCGGAGTTCCATTTTCTTAACCCATGGAAACTTTCAGGCATAGTTCTAACATGCGGCGACACCAAGCAGATTATGTCATTGAGTGGTGCATGCACATTCTTACCCGTAAGGAATTACGTTGATCTTAATGACCTTCGCAATATTCTTGCACTGTGGCCAACACTTCAAAGTCATACACTGCCAGCAGAGAGTTAACTTGACTCAATTATAAGAAATTCGGCGGGATTCGAACCAGAAACAGCAAGGGTAAGGCTTGAGTACAGCTTACGTTCTAACCGCCTGAGCTACGAGGCCTCACCGCCCAAGCCTACTGCAACTTATGGGATCCAACCAAAGCCGATACAGCAAGCCGACTGCCCAGGCAGGATTTCCAAAACGATCAATCTAGAATCCACCAGATGACTACCAGGCTCACTTAATTAATTGGTGTTTTCGGCATATTGAAATAAATCATTCGACCCAATTGTGAAAAACTCTGCGGCTTCTGTGAGACCTTGTAGCTGGGGTAGTAAAGCCTTGGTTGTATTCGGGTCTTGCCCTTGCTGTCGTGAGTTCGAATCCCACTGAGGCCGCCGCGTTTTTCACAACTGCATCAAATGAATTACTCGAATGTAAGGGGCCATTAGTCCCTCGGCTTTCATACAAATTTACTGATTATCCAGTTTTTGGACAAGCACGTGACTCAGTGTTCGTAATAGGAAGGGCTTTGGTTTTTACATGACAGAAGACCCCAAATGTGCAAATGTCCTGCGTGGTCTGACGAGAAAACATGGGAGATCAGCCGGACAACCACTTCATTAGGATGGATGTATCTTAAATGTTCGCCAACCTTCAAAATGCTGCTGCTCTAACTGAACAGTCCGGTGCGAGAGCAGCCGAATTTGGAATTCAAATAGCCAGCGTCTTACATAGGCTTCGGAAACTGGTTGCCCCTGGCCCCGAGTGTACTCATTTTCTTCCCTATTACAAGTCCTTATTACCATGATGGTTATCCAAAGACCGCAATTCCGCTAGTTCAATGCAGGTCAATTACTGAGGTTAATTGAATTAGGATCGCCTTTTTACAAGCTTAATTATCCACATCAGAGTGTCTTCCTATCCGTGAGATTGATAAAGGATAGCTGAGAACTCAGTAATCACACATACCGCGTGAACGTCCAGATTGTCGATGTTCAAGTCGTAGACTGTCAATTTCAGATGGTCCATCAACTATAAGAGAAAACAAACATAAGAACACACGGGGAAAGCTGGGGGACCCACTGACGAGCCGAATCCCTCGCAGCTGCGTCAGGCAGCGGCACAAGATCGGCGAAACACGCGTATCTGGGCTTTTAGCTAATACCTGTGTTGTTAGTACGGTAAATCATTGCACAAACATAAGAACAATTGGCAGAGGGGCGCTCATCGATCGCGATACGGGACAAACTCGTCCCGCTTTGTATCTTGTGACTCGATCTCGGGCGTCACCGGCAGTCGCACAGCAGGTAATATTACATATAGGCAGGATATCACTACTGAAAAAGACAAGAGAGACTGAAATTACCATTTCTGGCTTATTAGTCGTCATCGGCCGGCCATACCCAACCCCAGGTCTTGCAACCCCCGAGGCTCGACCCCGCGACCTGTTGGTTAGAAGTCCAACGACCTAACGACTGGGCCACGGGATCGTTGTCTTGTCGGTCGCGGCCGGGTATGTACAATGGTAAAGCGGAGCCCACCGATCGAGATACTGGGCACACTCGTCTGCATCAGATCCAATAAACGGTTCCTGAAACAGAACTTCAGGAGCTGAAGGCACTCCAACGTACGGACTGGCTAGGTGGCTGTCCCGGCGTCTCAAGTTCCTGACCGCTGAGTCAAACACCACGGTCTCTTCGTCAGCACAATTCCTGGAGAAACTGAAAGGGGTCAGCCTCCATCCAAATGAGGCCATGGTATCTTTTGATGTTACACCCCTTTTTAATTCTATTCCCCAGGACCTGGCGATCGAGACAATCGAGCTGCTTCTACAAAGCAAATACGATGAAACGAAGAATCGTCTTGGACACGCCTTTCAACTCCCGAAGTTCTGTCTCAGAATGTACTTCACGTTCGACTGGACAATCTACGAACAGGTGAAGGGCACACCAATGGGTTCGCCGATTTCGGAATTCATCGCCGGGGTGGTCCTGCAACGGTTAGAGTTGCTGGTCTTCCAACACCATAGACTGAAGTTCTGGGCACGGTATGTGGATAATACCTTCGTCGTTATCGACCGGGATCAACTGCTGACATTCAAGAACCATCTGAAGGCGGTCTTCCCGGACATATAATTTACGATGGAGGAGGAAGAGAACGACCAGCTGGTGTTCCTGGATGTCCTCGTATGCCGCAAACATTGTGGTGGACTAAAGACCAAAGCGTTCAGGAAAGCGACAAGTACTGAACTTCAACAGCAACCACCCATTCAGCCACAAATGCAGTTGTGTAAGGACGCTCTATCGGCCTTTCAAAATGCACTGTAGTGAGCCGGAAGACAAGATTGCCGAATTACAATACCTCCGACGGGTCTTCAAAGCCAATGGCGAACCCTGTAACTTCGCCACTCGATACATACGCAAAAGGGACGAAAGGCGTAACCGCACGGACTTCAAATTTCGGCGAACTCTTCCGTAAGTCAACGTATCGGAAGCTATTGGCCGCCTTCTCGCACCCCTTGGGCTGGAGTTGCACACAGACCGGAGGCAACCATCAGGCGTCAGGTGATGAAACCGAAAGACCCGCTGCCACGGCATGAAACGTCGGATGTCGTTTATCGGATCTGGTGCAGTTATGGACAGAGCAACTATGTCAGAGAAACTGGAAGACAGCTCCGAACGCGAATGGCCAAACACGCTGCAGCGGTGTGGAAAAACGACGCCAGCTCTGAAGTTGCGGCTCATTCGACGAGATTCGGTCATGCATTCAAATTAGACGAGGACGAAAGTCTCGCAAGAGATGACAACCGCGCGAGCCGGAAGCTGCTTGCGTCATGGTTTACTGGCCCCCAGTCCATTAACAAGTGCAATGACCTTCCCCTTCAATACTCAGTGCTGAGACTTCGCCTAGGCGGAGTAATTAGCAACGCGGGAAGCGCACAGGTGAGCACTTTTCCTAACGCCAGGGTCGGTGGATCAGATGGTCGAGGAATCATCACACCAACATCCATCGCACGTGATGAAATCGCTGCAATTAACGACGCGAATGTCGGCAATCAAACGGTCAGCGCCCCAAGTGCAGCGATCCCTGATAAAGGTGGGGGCGTGAATATTCATAGGTATGCGGTAGCATGGCGACTGCATCCTATAAATACTGCAGCCCCTTGTGCATGAACCACCCGTATCTGCTGTTGTCTCTGATGATAGATTCGAGCAGGAATCCGAAACGTCAGGCTAATAAAGCTCTTGTCTAAGCGATCGTGTCTCCTTATTCAATACCACAGCTTTATGCGTTTTCCACAGCAGACAGTGATACCTACCGAGACTAAGCATGAGTCCAAGGACTTATGACTGGCTGCCTGGCATTCTAACGGAATTCTCCGTGTTTCAACTTCGTCAGTGAACATCTTTGACAGTAACACTTTGATCTAGTATCAACGGAAGATGATCGAAAGTCCTGACAACATGAGTACTCCACTGATACTGCACCCGCTCCGCTGTTGCAGTGATGCTCAATGCAATAGTCGACTCCAGGATATAAGTGAACAGAATCCACTTCCATGACATCACCTCCAGAATGCCCTGAGGGCGGCACAGGTGACAACGATTGAATTTTCTGGAAGGTTCTGACATACAGTTCCTGTTTCTGCAATTAGAACAACTGGTTTAAAACGATGCGCTGCATATGTTTGGTTTAGCTGAGAGGTGGCTGCCGCGGCAGGTGCCTACTACGTGTTTACAGAGGCCCTATTAGCTTTGGAAACACCAGTATTGATTTCGTATCCGATTGCGAGGTTTGCGACATTACGCTTTCCATATAACGCATCCTGGACGTTTCGTGAAATTTCCCCTCGCTAATTACGCAAATGACTGTAGTTTATGCTGATTGTATATAATTGCACTTAAAATTTCATATGAACACGGAAAAGACCGCCTGACGCACCCTTCGCAGTCCAGCACCGCGAAAACGTTCTCCGTAAACTAATATGTTACTGGTAAAATGTTAGTACGATGTGCATTTAACATGTATATTGTTCGCACCGTTTTCAATAGGGTCATCAAGTCAGCGAACTTGTCAACCACGGCCAAACTGTGACCACTGACAAATCTTCTCAGCTCGGTGTACGATGCAGCTGACATTGGTAAGCACATTTCCACTGTCTTTTCAGTAGTTGTAATCAATCCTGTGTTCTCGCATTCTCAGTCCAAGTGATGTCTCCGGTAGAGTTGGGCTCGATTGCACGAGCTTTGTGTATGGGGACCCACTTAAATGCCCGCCGTAAGGGCAGATTACCAAGTTTGCTGGCCATGGCTGGTGTCGGCACCAGATATTTAGTCGTTCTACACTGTGTACACTCGTGTCAGAGAGAACACGAGGTAGGTTGAAGGTATATTGAGGAAAGACAACTGACTGCCTCCCAGATGATAGACGATAGACGGCCGATGACAGTCCGAAAGGTATCCCTCAGAATCTTCGCTTTCTACCGATTTCTTCCCTCCACAGATGAGTAGACTCGGAGTTACCGTCAACAGTCGATTTTTAAGTATACTGTTGTCTTGGACACGCCATTCAGATTTCGAAGATAGACCCAGCAGTCGTCACTCTATCTCCACTTCCCTGGTTAGCTTTATGCGGAAAACAATTTCGCCGAGTAGATTACCGAAGTGCTGCGGTATGTTCAACCTGACGGTAACAAAAAAGGTCCCTACGTAACGGCCATAAGAGGCCGGATCATGTTGACTAAATACAATCACCTCCAGCTTCAATAGTAACAGTTCTGAGACCAAGCCAGGACTTGAGGAACCCATTTTAGTTTCTTTCTTTGCTCCATAGATAAAAATGGTTTTCTGACGAAACTCGAACGGCCTCGTGAGATGTTAAATCTGGCGTAGGTCTGTTGATGGATTCCACCAGGGGCTCAAACGTTCAGGCAAGTCAGCCTATGGTTCAGGCGTTCGACCAGACTTCTTTTCTTACCTATTCAAATACCTGCTACTCGAGTATCCGCTTCTATTCGTAAACGTCAGATGTTTCACCTACTTTCTGTTGTAACTGCATAAATTCTAGGCGGATGGAGCCTTGTATGATAGTCTTTTTCCTAGAGAGTATTGATTCTTCTCAATGCGCAGGCGCTGAATCCCCGCTTTGTTCTTGTCCAGATATTTTTGATGTCACCTTCACAGCAGCCACCGGGGCCCGATTCAGCCCCCCCCCTCTCACTCCCCATGTAAGGTACCGAAGGGTGTGTGGAGGTTGTACAGTTGACAACTTCGTGGAGCTATAGAGGCCTGGGGACGTGAGGCGAACGGGGAATGAATAAGCTAGTGCTGTAACCGCCATTCCATCAAAGGGACTGCCTATTTCTGAGGAATCCATAAATTTCAGCCAGTATATATATATATAATGAAACACCTGTTTCAATGTCATTGGTTCACCCGTCTTCTTGTCTTGACACACCAGTTCATTTGACCTAGTCCGAAGGCACTTCTTAATGAAACGCAAGAGATGTTTTTGGTTCATACACGAGGCCGCGTGCACGTGTGTATCCACCTGAAATGGAGGAGGGGAGAGATGTAATAAGTTAGCTATCTGCCGAAATCTGGCGAAGTTCGTGCGATTCAGGTATAATAAGATACCAAGAATTTGGGGGCATAGGGCTCGTGTGAAAGTGCACAGAGCTGTAGATGGCGCAGAACACTGGCCGGTTTTCAGTCACAGCTGGCGAAGGTCGTGAACATGACAGGCTGAATACCCCTTCTGCGCTGACATTTTACAGTAACTGAAGGTGTCTTTCGGAAGAGGAAATGTGGTAGAAGACAGCGAACTCACTCCACCACAAAAGAAAACAAAAATCACCGTTCGTGGACCATTGAGAGCTCATAATAGGAGCAGTGACACGTGCGTTTCCTGGAGGCGTAATGTGTCGGTCAAACAAAGGCCCGTAATGAGAAATTATCTGAGACGACGGATTAAATAAACACGCAGTGTGAGTGCAGAGGGCTCAATGACCTTCAAAAAGCCAGACAATCCTCAGACATGTCCCAATACTGCTTGAGCTTCGACATCTCAAAAGATGACAACGGAACGCAAAAAGTGTGATCCGACGGCTTTAAGTACAAGTACAAAAGTAGGGCGTGCGTCAAAAGTACTCACATTCTAACTGACGTCAATGCTCATAGGATGACTTCAAAAATGAAATTTTCACCAATTTACCGTAATAATAACAAAATACACAGGCCCTGAAGAAAAACGACAGAAAGCATGTACTTTAGGCGATACAACTTACGAAATGATGTGACTGATACCTGAATGAATGGTAGCGGGTGCATGTCCAGCTATTATTTATAGGGTTTAGATTCATTTGTGGCGTAAAAGGTCATTTTCTTTTGGCAGATTATGCTCCAAATGTGTATTATGAAGTAAAAACGAGGCATTTTTGTACACGCTCATGTTTTACTATATCCACGTAATTTCCTGTGCTGCCGTATTGCAGACCAAGGTCGCATGTTCACGCACATTCAGCGGTGAAGAGGCACCAATGTAGGCCATAAAAGTCCGCATAAAGTGCCATCTGAAATTGGGAAACCTGATCTTGCGCCTGCAGAAATCAACCGTCGGCAGAAATTTAAAGTCGCGATCTTCTCGAAAAACGAAGGGATAGAGCTTTGAAAGTCCGCATTTGTAAAGTTATAGTAGTTTCCGCCATAAAACGCAGTAAGAAAGTTGCTTGATAATGGGCAGTTTCAAGCCAAGTCGACCGGGATCAAAATTGGCTTTCGTCGTCTAGAACATGTCACACGACCTCGGATCTCACGGGCATGACAAGGTTTATTAGAACTACATTAATAAGGGGTCATTGCAGTCGGACTGTCGTTCAGTGGGAAAACCGAGTCGTTTTGTCAACTGGCAGCCCCCTCAAGCCACAACTTTAGCGCATCGTGATAGCTTTCAAGCCAGTACATCTATTAAATTGAAAAATCCATTAAGTTATCATGCGAAATTCCTTTGTTGCTGCGTCTACTCGTTCTTACATCTCCCACAAAGCAGTAGCCTGTCCGAAGCGATCAGTCGACTGGTGATGAAGTTGAGGTCGGTGGTCAGCGTAGCGTAGACCTCTGTTCAACACGTACCATGCAATTGCATGGCAATAATTACGATCAAACGCAAACTCAGAGCGGCCTGACTAATATATACTTAAAGCCCCAATGGCTCGTAGGTGGTCTGGTTCTGCAGCAACACAGCCTGTTCGAAGGGACTAGACTGGAGCACACCAAGGTCATTATGGTATTCGACGATAAAAAATTCGATATAAATCACCCTCGCAGTCATGCCTTCCCTCAGTTCTCTTGACCTCCTCTTACCTCTGAGGGATAACCGGATTTGAGAACTGTGGCTGCGGTCGATGCTACTGATGCCGCCCTCACTGTGATGCAATTCTATCGGAGGTGTCACTGTCACTGTATGTACCGCATCGGCCAAAAAGTCGTCGCCATCACTGGGACTCGTTCTTTGCAGGGTCTTGATATCTAACTGCGTTCAATCCTCTACGCTTTTCGAAACACCGTATGGTACAATTGGTTATGCCACATTTTCCTTCCGCGCGACCAGTTACTGTATTGCGCAATCTGGCTTGCGTGGAACCAGGCAACACGCGATAAGGAATGTAGTACGGTGTAAATGAAAACTGTCGACAACCACCTTGCGACTGCTACTGATCCTATTATTCAGCCTAGCATTAGACAGGCTAAACTTTCGTGGCGGCGGATGACTGAGCCCTATTGATGACTGGCAACGGTCACGAAACTGCTTCCAGTTCCTCCAGCACATTTTTTACTATGTTTTTGTTTATACGGCTGAAT